ATCGTCACTGGCGTTGGACGCCGGCGGGAATCGAACTTGGGTCGCCGAGTTTGTGGAACAGCGAGGTGACCGCTACACTGCCGCTCTCCTATGTACACACACCCGCACGCGCCTGATATTACGCATATACTGAATGTATGCGATGCATGGATATCTGTGTATGCACGTGTATGTACCGTATATGCATAATCATACGTTTTATTTTCCGAGTACAACTCGTAGAGCTAAGAAGCTCTTTTTCATCCTAAAAGCATTCTACAATTACAGATTGAAAAAAAAAACATAAATTATGTCGTGCAATTGCATTCACACTTAAAATTTTAGAGATTTTAATAGTTTAATTAATTTCACATGCATATACGCATTATATGCATCGCACATATACGTGCATTTCTGTGTATATATTTACGCCGTTCTGCAGCCTCGCCTAGGTCGACTCAGCCTTAAATGATTACCTGATGCGATGTGTCAACATCAGCACCGTGGGAAACAAAGGCGGTCGGGCGTGGTTCTGGACACCCACCCCCTCCTCGCGTGCGCCGTTCCGACCTTTAATAGGTGCTCGCTAATAGGCGCCTTGCCCCGACAGCCTGTCAAAAGCTATGCTGTTAAAGGGCACATTCGGTGCGTTCAGGGCTGGCGTCTAAAACTCTCCGTAACTTACGGCGCGTCGCTGTCCACGCCGAGAGGGGTGCTGATTTTCACGACGGGGGGGGGGGGCAGATTTCACGCCTGAGCTCAGGCGAATTGTTCGCAAATTGAGCGTAAAACGCGGTTAATGTGTGCGCAGAGACACAAATACAAATATCCCCACCACCCCCCCCCCCCCATATATATATCCCATATATATCCTAAACAGACTTTTGGGGTAAGTGCTGTTAGCGAGCACCTAATCTGAAGGTCGGCACTGTGGCACACGAGGGAGGGGGGGGGGGGGGCAGCACCGCGCCCGTAGTGGCGATGTTTACACACCGCACCAGGTACTCATTTGAGGCTGAGTCGGCCTAGGTGAGACCCACGATCTAGTTCAGGTAATCCATCCACTGGTGGTGGCCGCGGGTGGGAATCGAACTCGGATGGCCGGGTTCGTAGTGCAGCGCTGCTCTCTAACCGCCGCGCAGAAATGCACAAATGCAAAGATCCCCTGTGTAGCCTTAACAGACTGTAGGCTCAAGTATTGTTAGCGAGCACCTATGAAGACCGGCACGGCACACGAGGGGGTGGGAGGCCAGCACCACCCCCAGCCGCCTTTGTCTCCCCGGTAACAATGTTCATACACTGCAGCGGGTACTAGTTTGAAGTTGAGTCGACCTAGGGAGGCTCATGACCCGTTCAAACAGTGTTAGTCGTGAGCGGGAATCGAACTCGTGTTCACCGGGTTCGTAAGGCAGCGCGTTAACCACAGCGCCACCGCTCCTCGCTGGATACAAACGCGCGCGCACTCGCACAAAGAACGACGCGATCCCGCGTGCACGCTTCGGTGTTTGCAGCGGAGTTGGCTCGCTACGCTAACGAACCCCCATGACCCGACCGAGTTGTGTTCCTGCTCACGGATAACAACAGAGGTGCTGGGGTTTCCAGCGACGTCAACTCGAACTCAAATGAGTACCAAGTGCGGTGTGTAAACGTGATTTTTGTTGGGGGAGATAAGGACGGCTGGCTACACCACCCGTGCATGCGCCCTGTCGGACCTTCATTGGTGCTCGCTAACATCACCGCAATAGCCTAATGTGGACTCTAAAGGGTGATCTGATATTCGTACGCGGTAAAAATTAAAGGCGTTGCTCTACACCAGTGGTTCTTAACCTTAACCGCAGCCGTACATCCCCTTTGGTTCTCCAATCGTTGATTTGTTTTTTCTAATGTTAATAAATTACGTAGGTTCCACGAAACGACGTAAGTTGTGACTTACGTGGCTGTGCTTAATTTGTGTTTTTAGATTTATCTTCGAAAAAAAATCTGGCCCTGCGAGCACCCCCAGGTGAAGAACCACTGCTGTGCAAGTACATCGGCCACACGAGTGAGAAAATGCGCGCAGAGAGAGAGAGAGAGCCCGAGAGAGACAAACACACACACACGCGCACACACGCACACACAAGCACACAACAACGTGGCCCTGCCACACTCCGCCTCGAGCAGTGCTGATGATATCCAATCACAACAACAACAAACACAGCCCGCGCAGATATCACGAACGGGTTGGGCTTCACTGGTGTTATTGGCTGCGATTTTTGCAATCGGTGGTGAGCGGGTAACCTGATCTCGTCGGATCTGTCAAGCCAAGCAGGCCTTGAGCCTGTTGAATACCTGGATGGGATATGACGACAACTGCGGAATACCCAAGGAGTTGTAGGCGAGGAATTTGCAGCACGGCGACAAATAATTCCTTCTAAATGTGCGGAGCTTCTGAGTGTTATGCATGTTGAACTTTCGCACCGTGCGAAGCCAACCGTGCTAATCGGAGGTGCGGTGTTATTCCCGGTACTCCAGTTTCCTTCCGCGCGGCAAACATTCACGGATATAATTGTAGCTTAAGAGACTCGATCGGGCTTACGTTGGCCAACTAAAGTGCACACATTGATACCCATGCACGCATAATGGGAGGTTCGGTGGCGCAATGGTTATCGCGACTGCGATAGGAATCCGGTGACCTGAGTTCGATTCTCGATCACGCCCTTATCCCCTCCCACGCCCCCGCTTCATCACCCCCACTGACGAGCGCGGTGAAGTATGGTCAAATACCCCTCTTTTTACCCACCCCTGGCGACCTCTTGACACACCGTGCGGAGGTCTTCATCCAGCGGTAGGGTGAAAACATAGCAACGTTACATACGTATGTATGTAACATGGCATACGTACATCACATGCACATAGGGTATCCTTTTCTCATCGTAGCAATGGAGTTGGTACCACGTTTCTTCTGAATAAATACAACGAAATTAGCAATCATTCAGGTCCTAAAAATACTCCTAGTGTAATACACACACACAGGACAAATATCTCCCGGATTGCCTGGAACAGAATGTTGGGGCAAGTGCTGTTAACGAGCACCTAATGGAGACCGGTACAGCACACGGAGCGAGGTGTGGTGTTGCTAGACTCTCGCCCGGCCACCTTTGTATCCTCGCCGTGCCCATGTTTACACGCACCGCACAAGCTGCTGATCTCATCCAAGGCTGAGTAAACCTAAGCGAGGCCCTGCACCGGTTCAGATATCAGCCACTGGTGTTGGGCGCGAGCGGGAATTCGAACTCGGCTCGCCGTGGTTCGCAGCGCAGTGCGCTAACCGCTACACTACCGCACCCCCATGCGTGTGTATGTGTGTTCTGGCCTTCATAGGTGCTCACTAACAACACTTGCCCCAACAGTCTGCTAAGGCTATACGGGGGATCTTTGTCTTTCTTTGTTTGTGTGATAAAAAATACGTAAAGACAATGACCTTCTGTATAGTTGTTCTGCTAACGATAAAACACAAATGTGCACGCGCAGACGAATACATATATATGCACGTGTGCGTTATTTAGAACGGCGAGGTTGTGTCAGGCATGGTACAATGATGTTGCGTGATGGTGTGGGTGAGTGTCTCTACTGTATCTCTAAAATATTTATATACGAATGGAGTGACTGGTGTAAATTCTAATGGTCTACGAGAAGGACTTAAATTCTGCAACTCTGGCACAAATGTATAACGTCGAATCGATCATAAAAAAACTATTCTCGAACGCATTGGGGTTTTTTTTAATAAATACATACAAAATAAGGGTCCAACTAAAACATCACAATGTTTTTTTGTAGGACAGCTTAAAGGTCCAACATTGACGATCTAATTCGTCGAGATGAACACCTACAACGTGTTAGTCGTCAGGTGAAGCAAGTAGTTCACCTCCCGTGGAGTATTCCGCCAAAGCGAGCATTAAGCAGACGCACACGCATGCCGCCGGCTTCAAGTACACACACACACCTAGTACAAAGATCCCCCGTATAGCCTTAGCAGACGTTTGGGAGCAAGTGCTGTTAGCGAGTAGCATCCACGAAGGCCGGCACGGCACACGAGGGGGTGGGTGGCCAGCACCACGCCCGACCGCGTTTGTCTCCTCCGGTGGCGATGTTTACTACGCACCGTACCAGGTACTCATTTGAGGTTGAGTCGACTTAGGGGAGGCCCTGGACCGATCCAGATAATTGTCACCGGTGTTGGCCTTGAGCAGGAATCGAATTTGGGTCGCCGGGTTTGTAGCGCAGCGCTCTAACCGCTACGCTACCAGTCGCCCATATACAGTATATGTAGTACACACACACACACAAGTAAACACACACGTATACACATAGCACACACGCCACATGTACATATATAGGAATAGATACATAATGCGTATAGACTTACGCATTTGGATAGAGGCAGTTGCGAGTCGCAGTGGGTCGATGAAGGGTAATGCTATTGTCAAGTTTGCATCGCTCAATTTAATTTTTAAAAATATATATATATATCATATAGGTCTATTGGTGATGATGGTGCCTATTATAATTATTATCATCATCTAGCTTGACAAACTCGCAAAAATAAGTATTCAATATTTACAAAGCATAAAAAATAACAAGAGATATCTCTGTGGATCTGATGATGATGACGGTGATGCCGCTATGATGATGATGTCGCGAAGGATATAATTGTGTTTAACTGTAGATGGCACTAAAATTATGACAATGATGCATCAACAATTTTACGAGTCGTTCATAATATTATGATTTTATAAAAATGATGATGTTATATCGCTGAGACGATAACGATGTTGCTCAGATGATGTCGTTGATTATGTTAATGACGTCGCTTAGATAATGATGATGATATCGATGTTACTCGCATGATTATGATGATGTCACCCAGATGATAGTGAGGATGGCAACACTCAGATGATGATTCTTAATTATTACAAAGCTCATGATGATGATGGTTATGATGTGACGATGACACCACTCAATGGCGATGCTGATGATATCGCTCAGGTGGCGACACTAAAATGACGACACCACTCGGATGATGATGATGATGATCGTGAAATCGTTATGACGATGGCGGCGGTGACGATGACATCTACAAGTCGAAAACTACAACTTCGACAACAATGATGTTTCTGCTGATGCCGATGATGTCACTTTAATCTTCACGAACGCAACACCACGTGCTGTTGCTACGCTAGACAATACCACCATACTCTCGTGACCACCACCACCTCCTCGCCTCTCCTCCTCGTGCGCTGCGCTCGCATAACGTGGCGGCGAGCACGACGCGCAGCGGAGGAGCCCGGGCAAAGAGAGCGGCGACTCCAGTTGCCCACGCCGCCTCGAGCGCCTCGCCATAATTAATGATGCATGGGGGGTGGGAGGGGGGGAGCTGCAGCGGCGAAGGAGCAACGGAGCCGGACCCATCCCCAGGGTCAGGCCAATAGACTGATGACTTATTCTTATGTAAAATGATTAGCAGGGGCGACCGCCACCCTCCTCTGCCTTTTGTCTCGAGCCCCCTTTTTTCCCCTCTCTCTCTCTCTCTTCCCCTTCCTCCCCTTGCCCCGCGGAGGCGCGCGCAGACAACACCCGTGGGGCAAAACAGCGGCGCGTCTCATCGCCAGGGATAAGACGCGGCCAGGGCGGGCGCAGCGGCACACTGCTCGTCGTGCAGTCGACCGACTCACATCGGAAGGGGGGGGGGCCCATAGCAGCAGCAGCAGCAGGACCAGACAGCCAGCAAAGCCAGCAAAGCCAGCAGCAGCAGCAAGCACTCAAGACATAGCCATCACTAACATCATCACCATCATCACCACCAACTACTGCCATCACCATAATCATCATCATCGCCACCACTGCCATTAACTGCCAATGCCAACGTCGCCATCACCCGCACGCACGCCTATACACACACACATATATATACTCGAGCGGGGTTTGATGCGCATAGCACACGCGATCTCGCGAACGCACGCACGTGAGTGAGTGAGTGAGACTGCAATTTCTGCGCGTTCACAGAGTGCGTGCGGCCAAGGCTTTTTGCATTAGGGTCTGGAGTTTCTTTATCTCGCCGAGTATCATTATTGTTATCATCATCATTGTTATAACCTCCGACTTGCATCGATACTTTCATCGTCGTCTTTATTTCTCCTCTCTACACACACACGCATCTGATATATAGATACCCGATCTGGCTTATAGAACATCGCAGCATCAAACGTAGCAGCAGTAGCGCCGCTGCACCTCGACCGACACCTCCTCTTGCCGCGCGCGCTCCGCACATTTGACTCCCCTCCTCTCTCGCTCGCGACACGCACAGACAACGACACGCAGGGAGACACCACTCGCAACACTTGCCCGGGCTATCTCATGTACAAAATGGAGTTCTCCTACCTAAACTCGTCGGCCTACGACTCGTGCATGGGCGGCGTGGACGCCTCTGGACTCACGTACGCAGACTACGGCTCGTGCAGTCAGTACGCGCCCATCCGGGCCAGCTTCGGGGCCGCAGCCGCCGCGGCCGCCGCCGCCTCCGTGTGCCCCAGCCTCGGCCCCAACAGCTGCAGCCTGGCCGGTCTCCGCGACCACCAGGGGGGACCGTACACGGCGGGTATGTATACCGGTACGATTTGCATTGCACCACCGCACGTGCACACACACACGCGCACGCGCGCACCCCCGATGCGATGTTGATGATGTTAATGTGTAAAGCACATCGACACGTGTGCGTCTCTGTGTGTGCGCTCACTCACTCACACGCGCGCGCGCACACAAATGTCTTGATGATGATGATGATGGTGGTGTTGATGATGATATTTTTGATGATGATGATGATGATAATGGTGTTGATCATGTTGTTGCTGATGGTGTTGATGGTGTTGATGATATTGTTGATGATGATGATGATAATGGTGTTGATCATGGTGATGGTATTGATCATGATGACGGTGATGATGTTGGTGATGGTGTTGATTATAATGTCTGCGTGCTGGAATCCTACCTTTTTGCGCCGCCTGAGTCCCGTCGTCCGTTAGTGTTTTCCTACATCCGCACACGGTTGCATGCCTGCCTCTTAAAAAAAAATCTTACGTTGACTTCCTGAATAAGGTCTGTTGCTTAAAACGTTGACATCTTCAATATCCATACGGCGGTACAACTATGAGTAAATATTCATATAACGTTGTTGCATCACCATCATCGTTATAGTCGTCGTATACGAGCGATATTCATAACGGCTACTCCTGCGTTTAAATAAAAAGTCGCCGTACGTGGCTGTCAATCCGTTAAGTCCGATGACGGCAGCGGCAGTCTCGGCAGCAGCAGTATCCGTAGTCGTCGCTCTGAACGTCGTAAAACTTGTCCCTTTGGGTGCGAAATAAGTCGATCCGTTGACTAAGCGTTCAACATCTGTCTTGACCGCTGCCACACCGGCGAGCGCGCATTCACACGGACAGACAGACGGGCGGGCGGGCAGACGTGAGACACGGGGAGACACGGGGGGCCAGACACGGGGAGACACGGGGGGCCAGACACGGCGCACGGTGGGGAGAGACATGGGGAGACACAGGGGGCCAGACACGGCGCACGGTGGGGAGAGACACGGGGAGACACAGGGGCCAGACACGGCGCTCGGGCGAGACACGCGAGTTCGGCAGCAACGTCGCGATTATATCCCCCGGAATGTCCTCTCGACTTCGCCTTAAATTTGGAGGCGCTCGCTCAAATCGTCGCAAATGCAAGTCAACGCGTCAGAAAATACAACCACGCGAAGCTCAAATAATCCCCAAGTAACTCGGTTATGTTATTGTATCTGAAGTCGAAAACGCAATTATTGGCAAATGCCAGGTGACTAATGCGATTTATGCTTCGCCGTTAACACATTAAGGGAAGAAATTGAATAATTTGTTGTTGAACACTATATATAAGCGGCGTTCCTGCGACACGTTTCCTTCATTTGATGTAATTTGTACCTAAATTGCATAAGAATATCATCCGATTATATATAAAAAATAAAAAAATTACTGGCTTGCAAGCTCGCTCCTAGGTGGATAAATCGGACGCGCGCAACTGCTAAGTAGTAATTCTCTCTCTGTTGATCCGGCAATGCGCGTGAGGCATTGTACAATTGCTCACCCTGCACAGAAAGAATCAACATTTTATTCGTCACCACTTTTATCATCATCATCATCATTCTTTATCTTCTTATTACGATTATTATTGTGATTACAATAATATCGCAGGATTGTCCCGGGGGTTGGACATGCCGATGATTGGAGACGGGTCTTTTTGCGGGGTGATTTGGGAGTTTGGAGTTTTGTGAGCACAGACTGTTTAGGGGAAAGACTGTCCATTTGAGACATCGACCAAAGATAATTGTTACAGCGTGCTTATATTTACCATCACGTTTTGGCATGATTCGTTTTTGAATAACTTCGAATATGGTTTCCCGCCCCCCAATTATAGCATCGGGAGTAAAGAAATAAAATGTAAAAACTAATGGGTGTGTGTGTGTGTGATAATCGTTGTGGGGAGCGGCAGTGTAGCGGTTAGCGCGCTGGGCTACGAAACCCGGCGACCCGAGTTCGATTCCCGCTCACGGCCAACACCCAGTGACTATTATCTGAACCGGTCCTGGGCTTCCCCTAGATCGACTCAGCTTCAAATGAGTACCCGGTGCGGTGTGTAGTAAACATCGCCACTGGGGAGACAAATGCGGCCGGGCGTGGTTGCTAACCACCCACCCCCTCGTGCGCCGTTTCGGCCTTCATAGGTGTGCTGCTCGCTGACAGCACTTGCCCCAACAGTCTTTCACAGGCTACACGGGGGATCTTTGTCGTTGTTAATCGTTCTTCGCCAAGTTTGAATTACGATGAAAAGAGTTCGGTTTTGAATAGGACGTTAACGTCAGATATTTTTACTTATTTTACCAAACGCTATTCAACTGGTAAAATCGATGTTTTTATTCAGCGTAATACAAATTATGTGGCGATGTTTCCGCTGCTGCTGCCGCCGCTCCTGATGCTTTGGCACGGGCGCACGCAGGCACCAATCAACACTCGACGCGTTCGTCGATAACAAAACACTTGCGGCTTTAAAAGGAGGCAAGTAAAATTAAAATAATAATAACAGACGTTTCGGGTAATGGCCCTACTTCACTCGCGACAGATTTTCGCGATGACGGAAAGGGGCATTGCATGAAACCAGCCGCATATTTGATCAAACATTACTGTTTCTCCTTTAAGCGGCATTCGCGAACAATATTTTACATTGGCTACCAGCGCAACAACAACACACACGCATATGTAAATATATGCGCGCGCGCGTATGTATATACAGTGTTTTGTGCTCTCAATTGCCGCCGATATATGCGGCACGTACACATGCGCGTGTGTGAGTTTGTGTGTTGCGATGTGGTGGGCGAGCGGTGGTGTCGCGGTTAGCACTACGCTGAGCCACTGAACCCGGCGACCCGAGTTCGATTCTCGCTCACAGCCAACACCCAATGACGATTTATTTGAACCGGTACTGGGCCTCCCCTAGGTCGACTCAGTCTCAAATGAGTACCTGGTGCGATGTGTAAACATCGTCACTGGGGAGACAAAGGCGGCCGGCCGTGGTGTTGGCCACCCACCCCCTCGTGTGCCGTTCCGGCCTTCATAGCTGCTCGCTAACAACACTTGCCCCAACAATCTGCTTAGGCTACACGGGGGATCTTTGTGGTTTCTTTGTTCCAATGTGCTGGTATCATAACGGTTCACGCACTACGCTACAACAATCCCAACCACCTGCCTTCGGGCCCACGTTACAAATTGTACTCTAATATCATAATTTTTTTAAATAAAAGTTTTGCTCGCTGGGAGGGAGTGACGGACGGTGACGTCCAAAGGACGTCCTGGCTGCAAGTACATTCAGTACTTCTTACAACTGGTGCACCCTACAACAGTCCTGCGCATTCTGTAGGTCAACTCGGCCTAAATAATATTTATTTTACCCATCAATAAAGCCACGGCTGAGTCGTGACACTCCTCTTAAGGAGGAGGAGAGTGCTGCTACATCGGGATATTTGACCAACAACGAATATATATTGTACGTTATGTAAGCAATTTTAAGTTAAATCTAAGAACTCTCCTTTTTAAACTTGCTTTTACTTAAGATTATTTTATAGTTTTATTTTTTTAATATCCCTTCAACAAAAATTTATTATAATGCGATTTAGTTTTGTATGGAAATTGCTTTTATTCTTCTTGTAATTTAGTCTTTTAACCATGTTTCTTTATATATCTGTAGAGCACTTTGATTGGCATCCTTTGTACGAAATAGTGCCATAGAAATACAGACTTGTTTCATTGAAGTGTGGCCGGCCTTAATAGGGGCTTGCTAACAGCGCGTGCGCTCACAATCAGTAAACACACGCACACACCGTATATATTACACCAAGGGGTTTAAATACGCAGTATATGGATATAATATACATTCACCCGACATACGTACAGTCTATAATTATATTATGGTGTATGTGGGAGAGCGTGAGTGTGTATACCGGAAAGATAGTGTAAAAATGTGTATATGTATGTGTACATATGAGAGAGATGGTTTGTGTGTGTATGCATGTATGTTCAACTTCGCACCGTACGTAGCGAACCCAGCTAATCGACGGTGCGTGTATGTGTGTATGAGATGGTGTGTGTGTATGAGAGACGATGTGTGTGTGTGCGCGCGTGACTGTGACGCATTGGTTAAGGCACCGGCCTGGGTTCGATCCCCGTCCACGGCTAACATGGATATCGAAGGACATCTGACAGCGGTCCTGGTTCTCGCGCCTACATCGACTCGGCCCTACGTGCGGATTCGGTGTATGCCGACTGTGCTCGCGGCACTGCGCATTCGGCCGGGCAAGGTTGCTCCCTCCACGGCCCCCTCGTGTGCAGCCACCACCACCACCACCCCCCCCCCCTCCCCCGGCCTTAATAAATGCTCGCAAACGACGCCATCCCCCGAACGATATATTTACAAGACGGCTATAGACTGCAGATGTTCTTTGCACGTTGCGTACGAATGGACCGCGCGCTGTGCGATTCTTGTACTGTACAAACAAGTGTCAATTACATTAATCATCCGCTCCCGTGTCTCGCCCCTGTCTCCCGTCTTCCCGTTACCCGTCCGTCTCGCCCCGTCTCCCATTGTCTACCCGTCTCTTCCCTCCCTCTCTCGCTGTCTCCTCGGCTTTTCCCCATTTTGTTCCCCGCTGTCAACTGTCGCGTCTCCGCGTGTCTCCCACAAATCCGCCGGCGTCTCATCCGTCCCTCCTCCTGTCTCTCTCCCCGTGTCTCCCCTTCGTGTCTCCCCGCACGTCTCCCCCACCCCTCCTCGTGTCGTCTCCCCCCCCCCCCACTCCCGCCCCTACCTGGCGGCGTGGTGCCCACAGTTCCCTACAAGCTCTTCTCGGAGTGCGGCTCCCTGGCCGAGAAGCGCAAGCAGAGGCGCATTCGCACCACGTTCAGCAGCGCGCAGCTCAAGGAGCTGGAGCGCGTGTTCGCCGAAACGCACTACCCCGACATCTACACTCGCGAGGAGCTCGCGCTGCGCATAGACCTCACCGAGGCGCGCGTCCAGGTGAGAGGCGCCACGGCGGCTCCCACGGAGCACCCCACACCCACCCCACACGCACCCCACGCGCACCCCACACCCACCCCACACCCACCCCACACGCAACCGACACGCATTCCACACACACCCCACACACACCCCACACGCACCCCACACGCACCCCGACACGCACCCCACACACACCCCACACGCACCCCACACGCACCCCACACGCACCCGACACGCATTCCACACGCACCCCACACGCACCCCACACGCACCCCAAACACACCCCGACCACCGCGAAGGACACTCAACTGACTCCACCGTGGGTCAGCACCGACTCACTCTTAATAAGAAAAGACAACGCGGGGAGGTTCACACACCACACCCACGAACCGCCCCATGGCGCCTACTGGGTCTGCCCCGTGACCTCCTGCCGGCGGGCGCAACGACACTTCACGTGGCCTCAACGTGCACCTAGCCTGGCACAAGCGTCGTGGTGACGTCACCGCCACTTAGTTGGCGAATGGCGCTTGTTGTTGTTGTAGTGTAACGGTTAGAGTCTTGTACTACGAATCCGGGGACCAAAGTTCGATTCCCGCTCACGGCCAACACCAGTGGCAATTATCTCATCTGGTCCTGGGCCTCCCCTAGGTCGAATCAGCCTACAGAAGTACCTGGTGCGGTGTGTAAATATCGCCACTGGGAAGACAAAGGCGGTCGGGCGTAGTGCTACCACCCTTCCCCTCGTGTGCAGTTCCGTCCTTCATATGTGCTACTCGCTAACAGCACTTGCCCCAACAATTTGTGAAGGCTATACGGGGGACTTTTTTGTCTTTGTATAAAATAATAAACTATTTTTTGTTTTACCAGGTAAGGCCCACTGAGCTGCATAGCTCTCTTTTTTACATGCGACCTGTCCACAAATGATAGCTCAACTTAGTGGCTTATCGTGTGGAAATCTATTGCATCCAATACTCTAAACGCGTGATGTTGATTCTAAATGTTGGGGGGGGGGAACCGGAGGACCCGGAGAAAAATCCACGCGACCACGGAGAGAGAGAAAAGACACGCAAACTCCAAATATACAGCAGGCGTCAGGGTCGGGATCGAACTCACGACCTCCTGTGTACCAGGCGACGCAGTTACTATCTCGCCACAGTGGCGCCCACAGGTCGACGCAGCCTCAAATGAGTACCTGGTGCGGTGTGTAGTAAACATCGCAACTCGGGAGACAAAGGCGGTCGGGCGTGGTGATGGCCACCCACCCCCTCGTGTGCCGTGCCGACTTTCATAGGTGCTCGCTAACAGCACTTGCCCCAACAGTCTGTTAAGGCTACACGGGGGATATTTGTCTTTGTGTAAGTGTGAAGGCTGATGGGACACTTCTCGGTCCGTTTGCCTATGGTCCATCGGAAGCAATGTTTTACAGCAGCATTGACGTGCATTTAAGTGCACAAAGCCTCGAGCGGTTTTGACTTTTTCGAGCCTCATCGGCAGGGTGCGGCCAGAAATAAACAATTTCTTAAGGGTTGCCAGACGTTTATCGGCAAAAAGTTAACCGTTGATCCCATTCAGAGCCAGTAACAGCAACGGTTGTACAAAATGTCTTTCTCCGAAAGGCGTTTGACTTTTGCTGAAATACCAAGACGGGAGAGTGGTGGCGCAGTGATTAGCCAACTAGGTTATGAACTCGGCTGCATAAGTGCGATTCCTGGCCACGGATCGAACATCTATCGCGAGTGATTATCTGATCCAGCCGTGGATTAACACAGGGGCTTCGCTTTACACACTTACTGTGCAAACATGAGCAGAACTCCAGCCTGCGTCTCACACCATAGGTAAGAATATATAGCACCTACGAGTCTATCTATATTACTGGTATGGCTTTCCATACCAGTAATGTCAAGTAGCGTCTTTTTGTTTGTTTTATAAACAGGCAAGCAAACTCTGGACCGGTTTCAACGTTCTGGGTCTCATCAGCAGACCCAAGGTTTGTTTAACGAATGCTCCTAGTTTCCGAGATGCTATTGGCAGTATTCCCTGGTATAAAAACCAAAAAACGTGGGCCAATCGCAAAACGCAATAGTGGACACACGACGGCCACGTTGACAACAACTGCCACGCGCGCTCCACAATAAAAAAAAATCGGCTGTTGTAGCCAAACGCTTAGGGCTGTGTGTGTGTGTGTGGCGTCTGTATGGGCAGTATGGATGTTCGTCGTCAGTGTGAACTTTCGGTAAATGTGTAATAAATGTGGATTTTTAAACATACAAACAACAATAAACATCACGATCCTGAGCGCTCTGCATGGGGTTTACTTGTGCCGCTGCGCGAAGTGATACTCGTCTTCAGGCTGAGTTGATCTGTGCGTGGCCCGCACCATATTTACGATGGATATCAATTTTAATTGGCTAAGTGAAGGGTATTGCTATTCAATTGAGTGAATAAAGGGCATTGCTATGTTTTATTAATTAAGTGAATTATTATGATGGACGCCGTCAATATTGGAGCGCATGCATACAAGAGACAAAGATCCCCCCCCGTATAGCCTTAACATACTTTTGGGGCAAGTGCTGTTGGCGAGAATCTATAAAGGCCGGCACGGTTTACGAGGGGGTGGGTGTCCAACGCCACGCCCGACTGCCTTTGTCTCCCCAGTAGCGAGGGGAGCCCCAGGACCAGTTCAGATAATCGTCACTGGGTGTTGGCCGTGAGCTGGAGTCCAGCTCGGGTCGCCGGGTTCGTAGCGCAGCGCGCCTACCGCTATACTACTGCTCCACAAAGACAGAGATCCCGCAGGTAGCCTGCAGAGGCCGTTGGGTCAAGTGCTGTTAGCGAGCACCTATGAAGGCCGGAACGGTAAACGAGGGGGAGGGTGGCCAACACCAGGCCCGGCCGCCGTTGTCTCCCCAGTGGCGATGTTTACTACACACCGCACCAGGTACTCATGTGAGGCTGAGTCGACCTGGGGGGGGGGGGGGGGGGGGGGGCTCGAGACCGGTTCAGAAAATCGTCACCGGTGTTGGCCCTGAGCGGGAATCGAACCCGGGTCGCCGGGTTCATCGCGCAGCGCGCAAACCGCTACATTACCGCTACCCCACCAAAAAAATATATACACACATGCACAGGGTTACACACAACGTAAAACACACAGACATATATATGCACACACAAATATACACACACGCGCGCACACGCAGGCAAGCATGCCCGATCGCGTCTGTCGAAGGGTCCACTATGTCACTTGACAATTGCAGACGGCTCTGCTCGTTGGCTTGTTTCAGGCTGAGATCACAGCACAGCAGGGAGGTGGGGAGGAAGAGGAGGTATTTCCTTCCGATAGATCGCGGGCTCGGCGAACCTGCGGCTCTCTGTGTGACTGCTTCGTGACCGTTCTTTATGAAGTACCCCCGGCGTCTCGAATTCACCACGCAGTGCATTGTGGCTCTTGTGATTAAACACCAAGCTACAGTCTTGCTTCAACACCAAGCTACAGTCGACATTATAGACTGCCAGTACACTCACTCTGATTAAGAACCAGGCTCCAGTCTACATTAGTGGGGTTTTTTTTATTTTTCTATCTACGTGATTTTACCGAAAGAACCAAAAATATGGCTCTTGAGATATTGAGGTTTTTTTTTCCGAATTCGACACGAAAGCCTCGTCATGTTGCATTGATTGCCGACCTCTGGTATAGACCACTGCGATAATCCCTATAACCTGTAAATTGATCAGTTACGATAAGGCGAGTATTGATAAACGTACGTGTATATAGTTGATCGTCTCCTTTTCGTGTGGGCTGATGTAGATGCAGCGTGACAACAAAAACAAAAGTTTCGCATTCAGGTGGCCAAAGCCCAGATAACCGTGTCCAGGAGCAGTCGCGGAGCAGTGAATCGCTGTGATGTCTCCTTCGTATTTGTGGATCGGGCATTGCGTCGTTACCCGTTGTACGGTCCGTTCTGGATGACAATGCTCTCTCACATAGGTATATGGGTGGTACGGTTCCAATATAGTTATAGAGATATATATTTCTGAACTGTTAAGACGACGTAGCGGGCTTGGGCCAGGACACGTTGTTTACAGATAGGATGGTCGATCGTCGAGAATGATAACGGAGTGGGAAGCCAAGAAATGAATTCGTCCGGGGAGCTCGTCTGCAGGAGAGATGGAGCGGTGAAATCAGCTTCTTTTCAGTCGCTCGGTGAATTTATTCCACGGAAGGATCGTCGCGAGAGATAGCGGCGACGGCGTTAGTAAGGCCTTCATCCAGCAGTGGATTCATCATGGCTAATGATGATACACTTAATAAATACACGCGTAAAATATGTCACACATGTGCCGGACACAGATATAAACCCCATGTCGTGCACGCTTATCCCAAAAAGACAGAGGTGATAGAGACTCGTCCATCTAAATTATAATGACGTTCTAGAAGGGTTAGAAGTCCGAAATTATATGTACGAATAAATGATGGAGGCTGACCGATCTAAATTCTAAAGATTTCTTCTTGAAGGGTCAGAAATATGGTACATCGTCGAATCAGTTCTGCTTATAACTGGAAACATCCGAAAACGAGTGTATTTTTTTTCATTATCGAGGGACAAGGTCAGCCCAAAGGTCAGAATTTATTTAGGGTTTGGCGCATCACGCTTTTAAATAAAACTGTACGCGTACCCGCATCGTCATTGAACCGTGTAATTCGCCTCTCGTAGAGTGTGACGCTGAAGCCGACAGACGGCGGGCTCATACCGACGATGCCCCCCTCCCCGAGTGAATAATATTACGCTGCCGCAACTTCACACGACCAGAGGCATTCACTCGAGCCCCGACGTACGCGCGTGCGATACCGTGAATTATATTGAATTATAATTGCGGGGGGGGGGGGAGGGGACCAATATCGATACGTAATTAATATAACATGACAGTTATTGTCGTCTATAAAATGCAGTGGTGATGCTTCGCATGGTTTCTTTTTGGTGTATTCAGTAACGCGAATCGTCATGAAATCGCGTTTGTGT